GACTCTAACACGGGTTTCTTCCATAGCATCGCAAATTGTAGAAGGTGCGATAATTTCATCTCCCAAATGGAAGTTAAGAACTTGGTCCTCGACCAACCCTCCCAAATTCAGGACACTATCACATGTTTCTTCAAGAACCTGTTCTCATCCCCCTCAGAACCCAGGCTCCCCATGCCCACTCTCCCTTTCAAGGCCCTTCCCCCTGACCAGGTCACCTGGCTCGAAACACCCTTTTCTGAAGAAGAGATCCTTAAGGCTCTTAAGGACCCTGCCCAAGACCGCGCACGAGGTCTGGATGGTTACCCGATGATCTTTTTCAAACATTTTTGGGATATCGTTCGTCTTGATATCCTTGACATGTTCAACGAGTTCCACAAAAGGGGGGTCATCAGTCGGGCCATGAAAGCAACCGTCATCACCCTTGATCCCCAAGATCGAAGGCATGGAAGAACTCAAGGACTTTCGTCCCATTAGTCTCATCAACAACTCTTACAAATTGTTATCCAAGGTCCTGGCTCCTAGGCTTAGATCCGCCCTCAGCTGGGTTATCTCCACCACCCAAGGGGCTTTCGTGAAGGTTTGATTATACTAGATGGCGCTCTAGTGGGGCATGAATGCATCCATTCGTGCCACCTCTGCCAGGTGCCGAGGATCATTACCAAAATCGCTTGGGAAAGGGCGTATGACCATGTCAATTAGACCATCCTCTACCAAGCCATGGAAAGGATGGGTTTCGGCCAGCGATTGAGGAGGTGGATCTCTGGGTGCATCTCCCATCTGTACTTCTCAACTTCTCAAGTCTTATAAACGGTTCTCCTAGAGGCTACTTCCCGTCCTTTAGAGGCCTAAGACAGGGCGATCCTCTATCACCTTTCCTCTTTACTACCGCTGCTGAAGTCTTCAACCTATCTATCTTGGGGTTATATAGTGCTGGCCTTCTCTAAGGGTTTGAGGTGGGAAGGAGGAGAGCGGTAGTGTCCCACCTCCAATACGCAGATGACACCTTACTGTTCTACGACGTTGTCCCTTCTCAAATCCATACTCTTAAGCTCTTCCTCAAGTGTTTTGAATTCGACACTGGCTTCAGGGCTAACCTAGACAAAACCAAGTTAATGGGGATTGCTGCTGAAACCCACACCCTTCTTGCCCTTGCAAATACCTAGGGTGCAAGACCAAAGCTTTGCCCTTTACCTACCATGGCCTACCCCTCTTTCGGTAAACCCAAAGCCAATCGGTGGAGCCCCATTGTAGACAAATTTAATCGCTGCATGGTAGGGTGGAAGGGTAGATACCTATCCCCTGCTTGCTGCCTCACATTCATCAAAGACACCCTTGTCAGCATTTCCATCGTTCAGATGTCCTTGTTCCAGATGTGATGCAAATAAAAATTGGAGTTTATTTTTATTCTTAATTAGGAATAGGAAGAGAGCTAGGATAAGGATAAAGTCAAGTAAGAGGAGGGAGGATTTTTGGTACGTATTGTTAAGTGGGAGATTTTGGGGAATAGATTATAATTAATCTGTGATGAAGGATTTGGGAGGGGATAGAGATTCTTGTGAGAGGAAATAGGGAGATAGACTTGAGAGGAAATAGAGAGATTGGTGTGGAGAGAAAGTAAAGGGAAAGTACAAACTTTTGAGAGAGAGGGAAAGACTTTATTTTGTTGGGTTTTTTTTTTTTTTTTTTTGTATTTACAGGGAAGAGTACGTCATTGTAAAGATCAGATATTGAAATTGAGTAAAATTTGGTCTTGTAAAAAGATCTTTTTTGGGTTGAATTCCTTTGCAAACCCTGAGAGAGGGTATATTCTCTTGAATTCCCTTGTAGACCTTGAGAGGATATAATCTCTCACCCATTTTTTTATTTTTATTATAATTTTTTTTTCCTCCCTGCATCAGTTGTTATCAGAGTCCTAAGATCTGCTGATATGGAGAGCCTTGAGATTTTAGAAGATGTTCAAAGCGAAGTTCGTGACATGAATCAACGGTTGCAGCTATTAGATCAAAGATTTGAGAGATTCAAAGAAGACCTAGTAGAGCGTATTAGCAAAGTAGTAGAACAAGGTCTGTGAGATTTCTTTCATAGATTACACTCGCAACAAGAGGAAAAAGAATATGAAGAGGTAGGTCTTGATACAAAAGGTGATGTCGATGTGCAAGAAATTTCCAATATCAATTGTGAAGAAGAAAAAGAAATTTTGAAAATCAAATATGAAGAAGAATATATGTGTTATGCAGTATACGAAATCCAACCAAGTGAATCTAAAGGAAAAATCAAGATTGAGCCCGAGATCATTGTGTTCTACTTCAAGATAAGAACGAAGCATCCAATGAATCAGCTTAATGAAGAAATTGAAGAAATCGTGTCGAGGCTTATGGTGGCATTACATCACCAACTTTCGAGAAGGCCTTTAAAATATTTGAGTTCCATAAGCTCGAGGTCAAGCTTCTCCCAACCCGAGGAGAATGATGCAAATAAAAATTGGAGTTTATTTTTATTTTTAATTAGGAATAGGAAGAGAGCTTGGATAAGGATAAAGTTAAGTAAGAGGAGGGAGGATTTTTTATATATACTGTTAAGTGGGAGATTTTGGGGAATAGATTATAACTAGTTTTTTTATGAAGGATTTGGGAGGGGATAGAGATTCCCGTGAGAGGAAATAGGGAGATAGACTTGAGAGGAAATAGAGAGAGAGGCGTGGAGAGAAAGTAAAGGGAAAGTACAGATTTTTGCGAGAGAGAGAGAGAGAGAAAGACTTTATTTTATGGGTTTTTTATTTCGTATTTTGTATTTAAAGGGAAGAGTCCCTCATTGTAAAGATCAGATATTGAAATTGAGAAAAATTTGGTCTTGTGAAACGATCATTTTTGGGGTGAATTCCCTTGCAGACCTTGATAAAGGGTATATTATCTCGTTGGGGGTAGATTCCTTTGCAGACTCTGAGAGAGGATATAATCTCTCACCCAGTTTTTTATTTTTATTATAATTATTTTTTTCTCCCTGCATCAACATGCCAGCCTCTGTCATCGACTACCTCGAGCAGCAACTCATGGGAAAGTTTCTCGGGTCTGGTGAAGGGGGCAGCAAATATCATCTCATTTCTTGGGCCAGGGTGTGTTCCCCAAAATCCCGTGGTGGTTTGGGAATCCGCAACTTGAGGTTCAATAACTTAGATCTACTAGGTATATGGTGATGGCGCTTTGCCACCCAAGACAACCACCTCTGGCACACAGTTGTACCGCTGTTTCGATAGTGACTTTCTTTCCCTCTAGGAGCGCTGGCCCTCACCTCTCAAGGGCTTGGAGATCTATACTCAGTTGCCTCCCCTCCTCCCTTAACTTCCGCTTCCATTCTCTCCCAGGTCATCAGATCTTTTTTTTGGTTCCACCAGTGGTAAGGCCACACCCCTCTCAAAGATAGATTCCCCCACCTTTTTGGGGTAGCCTTACAGCCCATCGCCTCGGTGCCCGACAGCTTCCAATCACTGGGAAACAAAATAGTGTGGAACCCTTGCTTTAGGAGGCCTTTTTCAGAACCCAAGACCCCCTGAATTCTTAGCTCTTTCCTCAATTCTTCATTCCGTTTTACTTCCCACACAGGGTTTTGACCTACCCATATGGTCCCCTGAAGCCTCGGGTACATTCTCGGTTGCCGCCTACAAAGCCCTCCAACCCTCCTCCCCTCCTCCCCTCTGCCGTACAATTCCTCTCACATAGCCAGAGCGTGGTCCTGCCTCACCCCTCCCAAAATCCAAATGTTTTTCTGGATATCTTTTTCCGAAAGAGCCCTCACAGTCGACCAATTCCAAAGAAAGGGCCATCAGCTCCCAAATAGATGTTCCTTATGCCTGGAGGATGAGGAAACCAACCCACATCTTTTCCTCCAATAGCAGGTCGAACATGCCCTCTGGGGTATGATGCTCCAACTTTTCGGATGGGTATGCCCTTCATCCATTCCAGTTGTTATCCAGACTTCCCTTCACCCTCCCTGGACCAAGCACAGCAACTACCTTTGGCGTGCCTCGGTAGCAGCAACTCTCTAGGTGATTTGACTGGAGAGCAACACCACATCTTCAAAAGTGAATCTTCAATCGTCCAGGCCTTGTTTCACAACGTCAATCTCTGGTCACTTTTTGGGTAAAAAACCACAAGCTATTCTGGCACCTTTTCCTTTTGGATTTTCACCTTAACTGGAGAGCTCTGCTGACCCTTAGACCTGCGACAGTCTCTTGGTCCTCTTTATGGAGACCTCCTGAGCCAGGTTCAAGTGAATCTCAATTTCAATGGCTGCTCTCTCGGCAACCCTGGCCCAGCTGGTATTGGAGGCATTTTCAGAGACTTGAGTGACAACACTCTACTCTCCTTCTCCTTATTCATCTGCCACACCAGCTATACTGTTGCAGAAGCTTGTGCCCTCCTTGTGGGCCTTGGTAAATTGGATCCTTCTTGGAGCAACTCCTTATCATCGAGGGCGACTCCAAAAACGTCATAACCTGGGCTTCTGGATCTTCTTCTTCTCCCTGGAGACTGATTCACATCTTTGACAAAATCCCTCACCTTTGCAGGGCCACATCCGTATTATTCAGCATATGTGGAAGGAGGCCAACAATGCGGCTGACACCCTCGTTAAAGAAGGCGCCTCACAGCAGTTGGACCCCCACTCTTTTGAGCTCTAAATGCCTGTTGTATAGAAATTTTTGGGACCCCATTGTGGGTTTTGTATACACACACTTGCATGGTGGGTGGTCCATTTTTTGTACTCTTTTCTCTCTTAGTTAACACTATGATAATGATAATAATAATTGGTGATGTTTGTGACATTGAGATTTTCATAAGCTTCTTCTCACTTGGCATATTCTACCTACGCTGATTTTGAGATTTTTAAAGAATTTTTCTCAATAGACATCCAAATGATGAGAATGAAAATGCAACAATTCCATGTGGTTGGGTTAAAGTGCAGTTATATGAGCTTGTGTTTGATATTTTAAAATGAACTTGCAGATCTGGCATGCCTGATGGACAGCCTAAATGGTTGCTCTCTCTCATCCCCAACTACCCCCTTCTCAACTTCATGCTTACTACTGCCATTTATGTCTTGGTAAATATATCCAATAAGGAAAATCTCCCTCATGGAGTCCAATCTCGATTTCCTTCACCAACTGGAGCTATTTCTCCTAACTACCAAGAAATTTTTTTTGCAGATATCACGCCGGTTGTTTGAGCTTACAAGCACTTTAAAAAGTGCGTTCGTGCCAAGCAAAGACGACAAGAGGCTCATGTACAACCTGATTGCTGGTGCTGCTATAGCTCTTGTGCTCTACTCAGCATCCTCTGTGTTTCTCCGGATCCCTCAAATGCTGGTATGATTTTTAAATGAGCTTAGAAGCTTATGCAGGTACAATTAGACATGACAGAAGAGAGAGAGAGAGAGAGAGAGAGAATCCACCATATGTATCTGATTTCCAATGCCAACATATATAGGCATGACCATTAGAAGAGCTTGGATGCATGGAGGTTTTATGGCAATTGATTGCGGCTGTTTGTACCTCTAATTTGTTGAGCCTTGCAATATATGCGATCGGGTATACATACATCAGCATCAGTGATGGGTAGCAAGTGTACGTGAAGTTCGCTCCTCACAATTTTTTAGGTTTTCCTTTGTTTTCAGAAATTTGTGTACAGAGGGGGCTGATCTCTGAATTCAATCTCAAATTGAGGGATTCAGGGGAAGTTCTGGCATATGCATTCATGTATTCTGCCTTTTAATTATAATGACGTGATTTGTAAAACACAATGTTCTCTATCTGTAACACCGATATGTGTTGGTTATGTTAGTTCTCGTCTTTGGTAAGTGACCGAGTGCCTGGTTATAAATTTTGCACAAGCGATCAATAAGAAAGGCCTTTTCAAAATCTCAGGTGATGTGAGGTTGAGCACTGGTGTTTCAATGGCAGGAAGTTTTCTGTTATTTGCATCTTGGTTTTTGGGTTGAAATCAAACCCCAACTTGTAATCAGAATGGGAAAAATTATTAGAACGTAGCATATATTTTCATATTTTCTTGTCTTTCAAAAGGAATGGGTAACAAGGGACGCTAATCGAGAGCAACTGTGCTATTGGTCTTTTATGTATGACAATGGGTGGCATGCGGTTCCTTGTGTTGTACACAGGCTACATGCATGTTTTTTCGTGAGCCGCAAATTTCACTTCCAACCTGCATGCATATGTACACCTCAAGAGTAAAGCTCCTGATGTCATACTGAAGGTTGATTATGACCCTGGGCTAGAGGTAAAGAGTCTTGATTTGTAGTGTATAAGGTTGAGGCTTTAAAACAAGACTCTTCATCTCTAACTATAAATTTAAAGCTTAAAAAATAGGATAGATTGAGCTGCTTTATGAACACTTGAAAACCTTGAATAATTGATGGTATAAAAAAATACGTTATAAGATGCATTGTTTCTAAGACTTAAAAAAGATCGATTTAAGAATTTTTGGACATGCAAACAACCTCTTCTAATATTCTTGAGATGCAGCACCCTTCCAAAACTTTTTCCAAACTTGTGACATGCTTTTTTTCTCTTGTTTTTTTTTCCATAGCCGCCCTTTTCACCCTTAATAACATCCACCTTTTTCATTGAAAAATAGACAACGGACCAATGTCAGGAAGTTATTCAGGCCAAACATTACAAAGCGAATAAACATTTGGACTCAAATAACTCTGAAATTCATAGAAAAAGCAGTAGTGGAAAATGTTACAAAGATTACTGTTAAACAACTCGAAAATTTTGAAGAACAAAAGCAGAAGAAAGAAAACCCAAAAGCCTTTTCAAATACCAACCTTGTACTGTTTCCACACTCGCCCAACTTCCTATCTGTATTGCACCATCAAGTCGAGATTAGAGAGAGAGGGTGGCCATGAGGAAGGCCAGTCTGGACTAGACCAAAAAACAGGAAAAAAAAAAGAAAACAGAAAACAACCCAAGCATGACCATGGGTGTGTGTGTGAGAGATATGGCTATCGCTTTGGTGGCCTGTCTTCATCCTCATCCTCAGAGTCATCTTCATCTCCGGGCCTCTTCCTCTTCTCTCCTTTCCCTGCAACTCCAACTTGGTCACCACCATCATCGCCGTCATCTTCTTCATCTACATCATCTTCTTCCTCATCATTCCCTTCTCCAGGCTCGAAATCACTGGCATCCTCCTCATCTTCTGCACGCCCCACCGGCCTAACAAGATACTCGGTCCCCAATTCTTCCTGTGACCGTATCATATTAATGAAATTTGACAAGACAAATAAAGAGTGAGAAAATTAAGAGGCATCTGCTGGGTTCGGAATTTGTGTATTCCACAAGAGAACTAATTAAGACAAAAATAAAGTTAAAGGATTGCCACTTCGGTAGTTGGCAGTGCTATATGGATTAGATGAAAGTAGTAAGTACAAAGAGAAATGCTGTTTTTTTTCTACTCGTATGAACCAAGGAAGGTTCATGCCGGTTGGACCGCATTTCTACAATATGCGGTCCAAAGGTATAAAGCACCCAGCTTACGTATGGAGGCAAATAGGTGGTCCATCTAAACACAATTGTAACCAACTGTCCAAATTTTTTTTAATATAATTATTCTTTTCAGTTTTCAATTTATTCTTTTTCATATTCATGATCTCCATGTTAAAGATCATATATTCTCTAAAAATTAAGATCAAATTATATTTAAACAAGGTTTCAAATTCATGCTTTCCATATTAAAGATTATATATTCTCTAAAAATTAGGATCAAATTATATTTATACAAGGTTTCAAATTCATGATCTCCATATTAAAGACAATATATTATCTAAAAATTAGGATCAAATTATATTAAACAAGGTTTCAAAAAAAGCTAGGCGGCCGGGCCTAACGGCCAGAACTTTGGGCTCCTTGTAGTAAAGTTCTCTATATATAAAAATAGAAAAAATATCTCCTTATCCCATATTTTTGACTTTTATATCTCATGAGTCTCAAGGATTGAAAATATTACTTGTAAACAAAAAGCCTCCAACTTTTCCATCTTATAACCTCTTGAACCCTTTTGACCATGAATTTTTTATCCAAAAAAACACTAAAATGACACCCTCTCCATTAACGTTCTTTCTCTCAACGCACCGTCTCTCTCAACTCCATCTCTCTAAAACCCAAAGATGTAGAGAGGTTCGTCTCTCTCTCATCTCTCTATAAAAATTATCTCCCCCCTGTACTCTACATCAACTCTCCTTGCAAAGACATCTCCCCTCTGTACATCGACTCTCCTCTCTACATCAACTCTCCTTGCAAAGACATCTCCCCTCTCTACATTGACTCTCCTCTCTACATCAACTCTCCTTGCAAAGACATCTCCCCTCTCTACATCGACTCTCCTTGCAAAGACATATCAAAATATGGGACTGACCATACCGGTTTGGGATAACTTTTTTTGAAGAGAGGGTAATTTTTAGAGAGAGAATGTAGAGAGGAGAACTTCTCGGTAACTTTGGATTTTACAAAGAGAGATGGAGTTGAGAGAGAGACGGTGATCTGAGATAGAGAAAACGGAGAAAACGTGAAAACGTTAACAGTGATTTGAAAGAGAAAACGTTAGCAAAAAAGAAATTTTTTTGGAAAAAGTGTCATTTTAGTGTTTCTTTGAATAAAAAATTCATGGTCAAAGGGGTCTAGGGGATTGTAAGATAGAAAAGATCGAGACTTTTTGCTTACAAGTAATATTTTCAATTATTGGGTATCATGAGATATCGAAGTCAAAAAATAAAGGATAAGGAGATATTTTTCTATAAAAATATATATATATTTGTGTCAATTTTGTAATTTATTGTATTTGAAAATATTATCTTATTATATCATATTTTTATATATATAAAAATATCACATATCGCATATTGAGAATAAACTTGTTCAAATTTTAAACTTCAAACCATACAAAATTTATAAATTTAATAGGATATGTATTAGTAATAGTTTCCAACTCTCTCCAAATCGACTTGGGCTCATGCATCAGAGCACAGGTATGTCTCTTAGCTTCTCCTAAAATAGGAAATGGGGAAGCGACGCAAGTTACAATGTAAAAGGGCTCAAGAATTCAATGAACAACAACAAGGTGTTTATAAACTTCGAAAAAAAGCCAATACGTGATACCAATACTAGAAAATCTGAACAAGAAATGGGGTTTTTGTTCCCCCAGGTCATGTAGATCTAAACTAGAAGTGGGGTTTTATTTTCCAAAAGGAAGAAGTATGGATTAGTTTCTTTACAAAGGAATTAAGAATAAAGAATAGAAACACACTAGTAACAAGTCAAATATTTATCATTTTAAAATCTTTTTCTCAAACTAATTAGGATAGAATTAACAAACGAATATTGCAAAGCAAAAATGGAAATCACAAGGTCGGGTCAGGACTTCACTCTTAAAAAAAATGCCGGGCATCCAGGTCCGTCCCATTTTTTTTATTTCTTTCCCAATTTTTCATGGACCCGGATCGGTTCCACGGGGATCCACCGGGCTGCCAGGGTTTTAAAAACCCTACTTAGCACACTTGGAAAATGACAAAAACTGAAAGAACACATGGTCACAGAAAGAAGTTTAGCAGAGGAAAGAGAGATCCAAAAATCTTGAAAACATATAAACCATGATCATTGAAATAAATTTGGAAAACCAAAATACCAGGTCAAAACCAACCATGGGTGAGTAAAGGCCTACATGTTGTATCATTCATAAGGAAAAAAAAATTTGAAAAGTGGGTCAAGAGGGTTTCCTTTTCTCGCAAGCAACAAAAAGAGTGACCAGTCGCAGTACAAGATTATTCCATGAAATACCCAATTACCAAAACCAGTTGCAGAAACCAATAATATCGCCCTCTAAACGAAGTATCACTAAAAAAACCATCCATTGAAAATTCTCAAAAGTAGATCAAATAGAGAACATAGAAAACAAGAAAACCAGCAACCAGCAAAAATAACCACTGATGAGTAGACCATGCTTGAGAGAGAGAGAGAGAGAATTGAGCGAGGAAGAATCAGAAGGTTTGAGAAAACAGAGAGAGAGATGATAAGTCCCAACGAATTTTGCAGGGACGTAAAAGTAAAACCGCCGAAATGAATAACGGATCTGTATTTCCATGTCAAAACGTTCGGAAAATTCGCATAACTCGTGAGGACAATCATATTCAGCAGACTAAGATGCATAGATAAATTAAGAAAAATGGAAAATTATGGAAAATAACGATTAAAACAACGAAAGCTAAAAAAAAAAAAAAAAGCTGGATCAAAACCCTAAATTACGAACAGTAACATCCACAGCTGAAATCATTTAATAAGAATTATCTAGCTCTTCCTGCTCCAGATCGAAACATAGAAGCGTGAAAAAGTAAATAAATAATAACATGATGGACCTTGAAATATGAAAACAAGAAGAAAACCCCTTTCTCTAAAGAAGCAAACGTTGTCGATATATTTTCACCAAATAACAAAGAAAACATAGCTTCTATATTTGATAAAACAAAGAGAAAAATAACTTCGCATATCAGAAAAAGAACACATAAAAAAACAGAGCAATTGCATCCAAAAATTAAAGCACAAAAACTGGAAAATTAATCAAACAACACACTTTACCTCTTCCTCCTCTCCATCATCATCGTCGTCGTCATTGTCATCGTCGTCGTCGTCGTCGTCGTCATCGTCATCATCATCATCATCATCATCATCACTATCGCCATCATCTTCTATTGACTGAACCTGAGAGGGAGCAGCAGGAGGAACAGATGGCAAAGGGTCATCTTCCTCTTCATCTCCTTCCTCATCCTCATCATCGTCATCGTCGTCACCTCCATCACCATCATCATCATCTCCACCATCATGATCATCAACATCATCATCGTCATCATCATCATCATCATCTTTTACCTCAACAATCTCTTCAACATCATCATCATCCTCGTTTTCGAAATCCCCATAGCCATTAGAAACCTTAACTGGTTCCTCTTCTTTACCATCAGCGGCCTTCATCCCTGAGATCCAAAACCAAAACCAGGAAAAAGAAAGAAAGAAAGAAATAAATTCTAAAGGCCAAAGAGACAATCTCTCAACAGAGAGGGAGGAGAGAGAATTTCAGAGGTTCAAGAAGAGAGAGGGAATTTAGAGAGAGAAAAATCTGAGGAGAGAGAGAGCTCCACTGCAATTCCAGAAACGCTACAGACCGCCACGGTTATCGCTCAACAGGCTCCCGCAGCCGTCCGATCTGACTTAATCGCGGATCGATGACGTGGCAATACAATCCGACGGTTTGGATCACGAGTTGGCCCTTGCCTGCGAGTGCATGTTTGAATGGACTTCAAGATGCCGCCCCTGGTATGTTACACACGTGTGAGATATAGGGCTGGCGTCATCACACGATCCCTTCTAAATCTCACACACTACGCATTAGTCCGGAAGCTACGAAAAGTACCCGGTTATGGCTAGAAATATCGGTGTGGCCCCCAGGACTTTCCAGAAAGAAGGAACGATGATTTAAATTGCGCGAAATCTATCACAAATATCGTCCCTCTTAGAGTTTTTCGGCGAAATTTTGACTGATTCGCAACGGCGTTAGGGCTGCCTAATACACTTGCGAAAGTCATCATAAATCTAAATTTAATTTCACTAACATTGTGATTTAAATACAGTTTCAAATGTTTGATGTTATTTCTTCTTCCTTTTTTTTTTTTTTTATTCCTGTTTCGAAAATTATATAATGCATTTGTACAATATGCGGTCCAGAGATATAAAACATTCATAATAGATGGTTCATCTAAAAACAATTGTAGGTGGTCCATCTAAAAACAATTGTAACTGGTCCAAATGTTTTCTTAATATAATTTTTTTTTGAGAAAATGACCTCTAATCTTTTCCTGAAAGTTTCATTTCTATTAAATCTCCTAAGTTAACTAAAATCCCTTGCAACCAACCCCTCAAGTTTTAAACTTTGTGACCATTAGCCCTCTAATTATAATTTTCTTTGTTCTTTTTATAAATTTGATCTTTTTGTTTTACAAAATACCAAACCCATACATTAGTCATCCATATTTTTTATGTGACTTGATATATAAATTTTATTGATAATAATAATTTATAGTAGTTATAATTAATGAATAATTATAATAATAACAACAATAATAGATTAATTGTTAAATATTTCAACTCTTATAAGTATTTTGATAAAGTATTTTAATAAATAAATAATGATAACCATTAACAATAATAACAAATATATTGATTAATCAATTTTCAAGTTCAAACAAGATATAATTGTAAAATAGGTCATAATGTTAAAGAAAAATTCATTTTTCTTTTTCATGTCTAAATTTATAGAGTGAGATCCATGAAGGTGAGATTGGTTTTATGCAACGGAAGAGAAAAGGAAGGGAAAATTTTGTAAAATAAAAAGATCAAATTTGTTAAAAAAAACATAAAAAAAATATAATTATGAGGCTAACAGTCCCAAGATTTTAAATTTGAGGGGGTATAAGGGATTTTGGTCAACCCATTGAGCTAATAGGGATGGAAGTTTCGGGGAGAGAGTAAATGTCATTTTTCTCTTCTTTTTTTTTTTTTTCATATTCATGATCTCCATGTTAAATATTATATATTATCTAAAACTTAGGATCAAATTATATTAAAAAAAAACATATTTATTGCCAAGCCTGTATTTGTACAATATGTGATCGCATGGAAACCGTGTCTTTTTTGTTTTGATTGTATACTATAAGACTATTTATTTTTGTTACATGAAGGTCACAATTATTCATAGCCATTAAATATAAAATTGGATGGCTCACAAAAGTGGAGAAATTATTTTTGAACTTTGAGTCTAGTTAATGACATTCTTACAACTACATGATTTGAAATCTAACTGATAAGAGTGATTGTGACCTCCTCCTTGTACCAAAAGTAAAGGGTCTCTTTGTACTATTTTACAATCATATGATTTGAAATTTAATAGACAAAAATGATTGTGACCTCCTCTTTGTACTAAAAGTAAATGGTCTATTCGTATACTTTATATATGAAATAATTTTTTTAATATAAGTATTTGTGGTCATTATGAGGAGTGAGACTTCATCTACATAGGGTGTGATATCACACATATGAAATACATTAGTGACATTTAATGCTCCATGTGGTGATATCACACCCTATGTGGATGATGCCACACCTCTTCTAATGACAAAAAATATTCTTACTAAAAAATAATGTATCACAAAACAATGGTATATCAATATCCAAAATTTGTTGAGTACAATTATAAAATGTTATATAATGTGAGCACCCTAACATAACTATATATATATATATATATATATACCCAAATTGATCAGTTCTAAAACCTAAACAAGTGAGAGCACTCACGTAAGTCACTTGACCTAAATGACTTAAAATGTCCAAGCATATTTTAGGTTCCAAACCATGGAATAGGGCTGCCAATGGGCCAAGTAGTCTTGATAAGCCTAACCCTTAAAAAGCACGCCTAGGCCACAAAATGTGGCCTGAGGACAAGTCAGGCGTGATGAATAGGTTGAGTAGAGCCATGCCTAGGCTAGGGTCTGCCCAGCCCAGTTCTGCGCAACCCTAACTTGTTTTTAAACATTTCTTTGTTTTTTCTATTAGGCCATGCCTGGCTCGACCAAAGCTTAGGCTAGGGCACCTTTGGCTTGGTCTGGGCTAGGGCCAACTATCAAGGGACCAAGGCCAGGCTCGGATCAATACTAGCCCGGTTCTTTGCTTACCCTACCTTAGAACAAGTTCTTTTAATTGAAAAGTCTTGTTTTGGATTCAAAACCGGGGTTAGTTTTTTTATTTTGGCTCAAGTGACCTAAGCCAAGTGAAAAAACCACCTCGCTTAATGGGAGTTTAAACACAAAACTTGTACTTTTTCATAAAAATATCTTGTTCTATGATTGGAATCAGAACAAGATAGGGTATTTCAAGATATGGAAAAGTATACAATGAGACCATTTATCTTTTGAAAAAAGTGGTCACAATTAGTATTGACATTTGGATGTGAAATTGGGTGGTTGCAGTTATTCTATTGACTAAACACAAAGCTTAAAAGAAATTTGTTTGAACTTTGTGACACACTCAAACTACCAAATTTCACATCGAATAGTTATAAGCAATTGTGTCCTCTTTGTATAATAGGTAAATGGTCTCATTGTATACAATCCCATTTTATAATTGAGTCCCACTTAAGTCACTCAATGAAATAATGCATTCTAATAAAAAAATGGAAAACATTATTATTTAAACCACATATCTGAGAGATTTCTAAATGAAGAATCTCCCGATCTGACATTACAAACTTGTTATTTACAAGAATGGAGAAGTCGTGGGATCAATTGAATTAATTTAGGGGCTGATATAGCCAAATAAACAAATCCTCATTTAGATTATTGGCAAAACCAGCATAAAATTTGCACTAAAATACTCGAAGCAATGAAATCAACTAAGTCCTAATTAGAAATGAATATAACTGAAAAAGCGAGGAAGAAAGACTTACCTAACCCGGCCAATTGGCCAAAGACCCTTGGAGCTTGAAGCTTCTCCCGTATCAAGACCACGACTTCAGTTTACATCGTTCGTTCTCCTTTTCCTCTTCAAAATGGACCAAGTAGTATCTTTGGTTGAAATGAGATTGTTAGGTTCCTGATCTAATGGTTAAAGGCTAGAACTTAGGACTCTCTAATTGGGATTGATGATACTAGAAGGCTAAGAGTTTTATCTACACTCACATAGTCTAAATAGAACTTGATTAACCAACCCTTAAGAGGTCGGACTCTCAAGTCCTTTTATAGACCTCATAGTCGTCAAGAAAAGGTTAAGGATGCTTATCTAGTCGGTTAGAGTTCAAAATTCGAAATTCATGTGGTCAAAGTTTAGGCGTCTCTAAGTGTGTCGCTCTGGTCAAACATGACCAATCGACACAAACTATGTCGCAAGACCTAATATTAACTAGATACAGTGATAGACACAAAATGGTCTGGGTGACATAAAGTGTGTCACTCCAGTCAAACATGACCAGTTGACACAAATTGTGTCACATTACCTATTTCTACCCAGATACAATGAAGAGACACAAAATGGTCTAAGCGACATAATATGTGTCGCTCTTGGCGACACACAGTGTGCCGCTCTGGGCAGCACACTTTGTGTCACTCTAGACGACACACTTTGTGTCGATCCGATCAAAGTGCACTAGAATTCCGGGATTTCAATCACGCTATCTCTCATGCATTTTGATATGTATCATCTTGTTTTCAAAATTAATTACTATCTTTATCTTATTTTTGGATTATTTTTAAATTTGAATGAGAGTTTAAAGGGATAAGGGATATTGGAATGTGGACTATAGAATATGGTGTTTTGTGGTCCGAAGTTTTTTGGAATAGTGTGGTTCCTAAGGGCCTTTCTAGGTTCTTCTAATATTAGGAAAATAATGAAAGTTACCATATTTAAAATATATTTTAGTTAGTTCACACCACCCTCGTCTTATTTTTTTAAAACTTTTCCCTCAAAGAAATCTTGTAAATATATATTATTCTATTTTTATAAAAGACAATCTTATTTTATTTTCAAAATTAATTTGGATATTTATTCGATCAAACTAAACACTTTTACTTATACCCAATATCTTCGTTCATATCCATTCCTCAAAATATCGTTTTCATTTTTCTTAAGTCTTTTCTCCATTCCGAAAAATATTTATATTTTCTTGTAAATTTACTATTTTGCTTTCATAGTTTAATCTTGGGAAATTATCAGAAATATATATTAATTTTAGCTTAATTGGAAAAAAAAACCCCAAATTTTCGTAAACCTCGTCTACACCATTTTTTCTCTTTTTTCGGTTTTTTTTTACTAAATTAAAGTTCACGTTAGTCGTATTATTGTGAAGAACATCACGGTACTTTAAATACCATAATGTTTAGTGCATTTTATACGATACTTTAAGTACCATAATGTTTAACCTATTTTATACAGTACTTTAAATACATTAATGTTTGCATTTCCCTGGTACTTTAACATTAATACCTCAATATCACTTATATCACTTATTACGGTACTCGAACCACCGGACTTTGAAAGGTTAAAAGAGAACAGTGAGGTTAAAAGAGAACAGTGAGGCCGTTCTAATGAGCTCGGATTTTGAAAGCAATTTTTCATCGGGTAGATCATCTCTCATGAGTTGGTCCAATGGACCAGTTGAGTCTCCCGACAGTGGTGGTTTGGAAGAGATAGGGGTTTTAAGCATGATGAGAAGACTGGGCTCTGATCGTTTGGTCACCATCGATGAATTTCAGAGAGCTATTGGGCTCTCTCCATTAGTGCAACATTTCATGCGACGAGATCTTGTAGAGTCTGGCATTTCTATAGAGGGTTTGAAGACAAAGAAGGGTTGG